TCTGCAGTTAGAAGGACTAAGAAAGGCCACCCCCAAGCAGGTTCAAGATTTTCTTCTTTCCAGCTTTTGATAAACACTTGATCGCCAGGTTGATATGGGTGCACCGGAAATCAAGGGGTGACGTCACATCTATGCCGACAGGCCTTTTTTCCTAAGAAATATCAGAGTAGAGGACAGGCCAAGTATACAACTTTGGAGAAACTGATCTTTAGTTTCCAAAGTAAGGATGTCAGTGATTGAACTCAAGTAAGGTAAACATAGAGCATTTCATACGAGCATAGATCAAGGTCTCTTCTAGGGGCGATCTGAATCCTTAAAAGGGCTATGGGGAGGCATTTGGTCTAAGGTAGCTTGGTTTCCACAATTAGCTTGGTAAGGTGATGCTTGAGGATTTGATTCATCGTTTCGACCCTCCCAGAAGACAGTGTGTGTATCAGGGAGTGTGTTATTCTCACATGATTCCTAAGATTTGTACTAATCCTTTGATGATATTAGCAGTAAAATGGCTTCCATTAATTACCTGAATTATCTCTATTAAACCAAATCTAGGTACAATATTTTCTATCAGTATTTTAACTACATAATTTGCTGTTGCTCCAGGTAGAGGAATTGCTTCTATGTAACGAGTGAGTTGGTCAACAATCATGAGAAGATATTTGAGACAACTTATTCTAGACATTTCAGTGTAATCAATTTGAATGCTTTGGAAGGGTCCGAGTCCAGGGTTTCATCCTCCGAGGGTTGTTTGTCTTAGAGGCTGTTTGGTTTTTGGCATGTGAGGCACCTTTCAGAAATTTGTTTAGCTAAGGTATAAATTCCTGTACAACCAGAGCTGGGAGTACTGCATCACACATTGCCTGGGGACCCCAATGGCTTCCTTGATGTCATTGGGATAAAAGTTCTTTCATTAATGGCTTTGACAACATTTCTCTCCCATCTGGTAAGAGCCATATTCCTTCCGAATTTTCCTTGGCCCCTATTTTCTTTCATTGTTCCTTCTTGGTTGGGGGTGAAAATGGAATGTGTAACAGAGGAAGGGAGACATGGGGTCAAATGGAAGATAGGGACTTCTGGGGATAAGGCAGTCTATTTAGGCTGTCTCATCAGCTAGGTTGTTTCTTTCTGAATGGGGGTCTTCCCACTTGAAGGCAAATAAATCCCTACTTTCTTCAGTCAGAGGACATGCCCAGAAGGCATCCTTAAAGTCAATTACACTAAGCCATTGGTGACTGTAGGGGATCTTATTGAGCAGGGGATAGAGATTGGGGACTACTGGGTGTTTATTTCAAACTATTTGATTAATCACTCAAAGATCTTGGAGTTGGCAATATAATCCATCTGTTTTTTGTGTTTTTCTTACGGACAGAATTGGGGTATTGTATGGTCACATGCCAGTTTCAATGAGTCCATCCTGGATCAGTCCATCAAGGGTAGGTTTTAATCCTATTCTACCTTTGAGGGAAAGGGGGCATTGTTTTCTCTTACTATTTCTCCACTATTTCTCTTACTATTTCTCCAGGGTTCTTTAGTATAATAAAGGGGGAATCTACAACCCTCACCGGTTATGTTAAGTCCAGACAGTGGGTTCGACTTATTTCTCTGCCCAAGAGGTCAGTAAATTTAAAGATACATGCATCTGATTAAAAAAAAAGATACATGGATCTGATCTCTATTTCCATATAAGCCTAAATCTAGGTTGGTCATTAGGTCTCTTCATAATAGATTTGTCCCTGCCACAGGGACAAGGAGCTCTGGTAACATAGTGGTTACGAGTCAGGCTGCCAACCGCAAACTACCAGCAGTTCTGCAGAAGAAAGATGAGGCTTTCTGCTTCCATAAAGATTTACAGTCTTGGAAACCTTGTACAGGGTCGCTGAGTCTGAATTGACTCCACAGTACTTAACAACAACAACAACAACAGGGACTAAGAGAAACTTAGTGGTGGTGGTTTTGTTTTAGAACTGGACAGTGGTTTCTGTAAAAATTCTGGTTTTAAATCCTTCCTCTCTTATTCCTGAGATTAAGAGTTCCTCAGGTAAGAAGGAAAGACCAGAGGGTTGAGTGCAAAGTGAAGATGTGGAGGTTTCTGAATTAACTAGAAAGATTATCATATCTTTATATGGCCCCACCTCTAAATTTACTAAGGGTTCCCGGTGGGATCCATCCATGTGAAAGAGCCCTTGACCCCTCTTATCGAATGTCACGAGAGGAATTTTCTCTTGTCTTTTTCCCATTCTGGAACATTCCCTCTTAAAGTGTCCTGCTCTTCCACATTTAAAGCACTTGTTTTCTTCTCGTTTTCTTATCCGCGGATGCCCTAATTTTTTTATGGGTCCTAACTGGTGACGTTGGGATTCTTGGGGACCTTGATTGGCTTGCATTCCTTGGGTTGTTTGACTTAAAACTGACATTATTTTAGCTTTTGTTTCTGCTTTTCCTCATCTTGCCTCACGTATACTTTCTGGTCTTCCCTCAGAAGCTCCTCTATAGGTCTATCTTTCCAGTGTTCTATCTTTTGTAGTTTTTTTTATTGATGTCAGGCCAACTGTTGGTGACAAAATGAAGTTCCAACATCCCCTGTCCTAAGGGATCTGCTAAACCTAATCCAGCATATTTCCTCACCTGTTCTCTCAATCTGTTCAAAACCTCTTCAGGTCCTTCATCTTTTCTTTGTTAGACATCAGAGGCCCTAGAAACATTCTGGGTGTGTGGAACCAATTCTCGGAGGATTCCTTTACTTACCATTCTCTTAAGCACCTCATGTTACTTTGGTGGGCCACAATATTATTATCCCGTTGAGGGTCCTGATTAGGAAATTTCACATCAGCCGCCAGGATGCCTGAATAGGCCTGATGTTCACGCTCTCAAGCAGCCATTATGGCTGAGGATCATGGCCCCTGAGAAGAAGATTCCTAGGGTGGACAGAAGTTCTGCACATGTATATAACTGGGGACCAAGGAATTGATCTACCTGGTCAGCGACCCCAGAGGGGTCATCAAGGAGCCGCCTTGGTTCTGGACCTCAGAACTGGTCAGAGGGGCACTGACAAAGCCAATTCCCCCTCCTCCTAAAGGACCCTCTCTCAGGGAGAAAAGGGACTGAGGTTGACTCTTGGGAGAGGTGGGAAAGGGGAGGTTCTGTAGATCTTTCTGACATTGTACAATTCATTTCCTCAGTCTCTGCAGGGAGGGGTAGCATTTTGGCATAGGGGGATGGGGTCTACAGGAATGGAAGAAGGGGTGTCAAGGCTGGGGGTCTGGGGTACAGGAGGAAGGGCAGGTCTGTAAGGCAGGGGCAAAGGGAAAGAGGATCCCAAGGGGGAGAAAGTTCTTTCTTTTTTTCTTGTTTATGTTCTGTTGTTTTAAGGGGGAACAAAACAATAGGACTCCTCCAACATAGGGTATATATAACCTAGTTCTTCTTGAGTTAACAGGGCTTTTGTCATTAACACATTCAATTAAAAGTTGACAGACCTAGTCCTCGTCTGGGCCAAATTAGACCAAAAGACAGATTGTTTAAGAATTGATTGCTGTGTCTAAATGAAACACCGATATTTTATCATTTGTTTTTTCTTTATCCCTTTAGTTCAAGCACTATCATTCCAATATTTTAGCATTAATCCTAATGGACTATTAGGGGAATTTTGTCTTTGGTTTCATTTTCTCTAGAGATTCTTTTACTGGTGTTATTTCCCATCCCGGCTATCTGGCCGTATTCTTACTAAGAAGTTCAACCCCTCCTCTATACTTGGAAATTTCTTATATTCTTTTACTTTCGTGCTTTGTCCATCTTCAGCTTCCCTCGTGGGAATGCTGGACACCTCTTAGCCAGTAACATGTCAAATGAGTCTTCCACTGCCCTAAGCCCTTTGAGGTTGCCACGGAAACCGAAACGCAGATCAGGACTCCACACTCAATTTGTGCCCAGGGCACGTTCTTTCACCCACCCACACAACCTCCGGGATATCCCAACCACCAAGGAAATTATTTGAGCCCCCCCCCCCCCTGCGGCTTTTCTTACATTGGTCCTTGCACTGGGGTTACCTGGTAGCTGCTGTGCTTGCTTGGGCCTTTTACGCCCATTGCCAAGGGGTCAGGTATATTGGCTACTATTGGCTACTTTGGAAGGCTTCAACTGCTCTTTAGCTGAGGGCTGCAGGACTAAGCAGGAGAGAGGGTCAATACCCTTCCCAAAGGGAATGGATATCCCAGACAAGCACCCAGATTGTTAGAAATGAACCCCGATGTTGCACACAAAAAAGACACTCGGGAAGACTAAATTACCTCCGCAAGGCAAAATGATACTTTTGCAGAAGGGTGCGTAGCTGCACAAGAACAGGCTAGTAAGCACACTGAGCAGCAGGCTGGTCAGTCTTTTGTCCCGGCTTTTATCCCTGACTGCGCACACCTTGTTCTTACCCAGTTGGCTAATACAAATTGCTAGGGCGTGCAATCCTGTCCTTACCCGATTGGTCATTTCAACTTGCTAGGGGAGCCTAAGGAAGTTGGAAAAGTCCATACTCATTTCAGGAAGCAGTAGCAGTTAAAAGAAAAGGAAATATCATCCGAATACAAAAAACAGGATTACAATAAATTTGAAGAAAAGACATCCATTCCCCCAGTTAGAAATAGAGCCTAGGACAAGACAAACAGCAAAGGCCAGCCCCTGGAATGGTGCCCATAAAGGTTCCTTTAACGCAAAGGAGGCGTGGCCCGAAGGGGGCGATTTTTTTTTTGAGCGTTACGGTGGCCGGAGAAGCACAAGAAAATTGGAACGGAAAGGACTCGAAGAATAGGCGGGTGAAGCGAGCAGAATGGCCTGGAGGTTCCTATCACACGAAGAGGCGGGTTTCTTCGAGGTGGCGGAAATGTTGGCGCCTGTGGGAAGCGCATATGGTGGCCGAGAAAGTCCTAGGTATTTGGAGCAAGAAGAGTGTCTATTAGGTGATAACAGACGGGCAGTGGGGAGGGAGGAGGAAGGAAGTATGGTGGCCGGGTTGGTCTTTTCGCAGCCGGAAAGACCAGAGGCGTGTTTCAGGGTCTCTTGCTGGATACGGTGGCTCGGCGGGTCGGATTTATTGTGAAATCTCGCGCGATCGCGCTGGCGCCGTCGGAGACGGGGCGGGACTGGCGGCGGGGGCGGGGACCCGGAGCGGGAAGATGGCGGCGGCGCAGGAGGCGGACGGGGCCGGCAGCGCCGTGGTGGCGGCCGGGGGAGGCGGCTCCGGTCAGGTACGGAGGCCGAGAGGGGCCTGAGGGGTTCATTCCCACCCGGGGGGCCTTTGACGGGGCGTGTCCTCCTTCTTTTCGAGGAATCCTGTGCATTAGGGACGCCTTGCCCAGAGGGACCTTGAATACCGGGCCCAGGCCGGGCTGGGCGGCCCGGGAGGCCGGACGGTGGCTGAGAGCGGCGCCCTGTTGCGCGCAGGCTGACCACCAGGCTTTAGTGCTCGAGCCCGGGAGACAGTGGCGCTAAAGGGGACCGACTTGTACTTAGGCACCCTAGGTTCTTGACTCGAATCCGGGCTGCAAGACCGTTCCTAGAGTGAGTTGGCGTTTAGCGTCTTGCTCGCAGTACCTGAAACATGGGCAATGAGTAATTGGGAGTTTTCTAGTTCTGGTGGGAGCCAGTTTGATCAGCGTAGATAAGTGCTCGGGCTGCGGAGGCCAACAGACCCATTTTACAGACGGGAAGCCAGAGAACAGTGGAGATCTAGGCGCTTGCAGAGAAGGGCACCCAGGTTGCGTTAGATGATCCTTTCCAGGTCCATATTACCAGACATTGATAGCTCCGACTGGTCAGGACTGGGATGAATGAGCTTTTAGTGTACAGCCAACCCCTTTGGGGAAAGCTAGTGACTTCTGCCCCATTGCCTCTTTAACTAAACTGAGGCTGCAAAGCATATGGGTTCAGGCAGGCATTTGGGGCATCAATGAAGAAGTGACAGCAAGGTGCTATAGACCCGCCCACTGGGATGTCACTGACACGTGGGAGGCAGTACAGGGGAGAGAAGAGAATGAAGCGGGCTCAGTAACCTCGGGCTGCTCCCTCTCCCTTTCTGGGCCTTTGTTTCTCCAGTGGTAAATGGAGGACGGGCCACAAAGATGACTCCAGCCGTCTGCTATGGAGGGGAGTGGGAGAGGAGACTAATGCAGGAACAAGGAGTTCCAGTAAAACTTCGAACGCCGGACGTATCAGAGAAGGAATACTCAAATTTTCTCCATGAATTAGAACTAAGGATAGAAAAGCGGTAAGCTAAACCCTGTCAAAGGCAGAAAGCAAGTGAGACGTAGAAAAGAAAAGCAAGGCAGTCCTGTTGAGTCCTGGCTCTTCCAGAGTTCACTATATAGTCCTAGGTCCTAAGGGTGGTGGCAGAAGTCTGTACCAGGGCCTAAGAGAGCCCAGGGGAAGACCGGAGGATGACATGGGGGATGGAGCCAGCATACCAGAAACGCATCTTCTCAGGTGTCCCAACCAAGGCCTGACTCCAGGGCAGATCGGGAGAGGTCTGATGGAGTGAAGACTCAGTCCCTGTCTTTGAGGACCTCCCAATCTGGCCCCCTTTTTGTAGTCTGTTGATTGGAGAGACACAGGTTGGTCTAAGTGCCTTGCGCCTCCAGACGCACACGATTACTCTTTTTCCGTCTCTGTGTTAAGACCTTCCCAGGCCTACCCCTTTGCCTTCTGGGTGAAGTCCAAATTTGAGCTTTGCGTCCAAGGTTTAGTAGCATGGTCAGACTCTTCTTTAGACCAGACCAGGACTTGGCAACCTCAACACTGTGGACGTTTCTGCTCGTCGTGGTGGCTGGGTTGTGTAGCATAGGGGTATAGAGACATCCCTGGGCACCCCCTCCTTTACACATGGGTGTAACATCATGCCCCCTCCCCACTACAGGCCAGGCCCTGTGTTGGTGCTGAGGAGATAGCCAGGAAACCAAGGCTCTGCCCTCCGGGCGCTTCCGTTCTAGTTGAGAGTGGGAGTGGCTGGAACACACGTATAAATGAGACCAGCGAAGAGTGGGTCCTAAGGCCCTGAGTGCCGTGGAGAAAACTAGAGCTGGGCATGGCTCTAGGAATCCAGGGTGTTGGGGAGGAGGGTTGCTGTTTCAATAGGGTAGTCTGGGAAGGCCTCCCTGAGGAGGTGAGAGAGGGAGCCATGTAGACTTATGTGGGGGGACAAGTGTGCCAGGAAAAGATAACAGCTGTGCAAAGACGAGAGGAAGGCACAGCCAGGAGGTCTGGTTTGCTGGAGAAGGTGGGTGATGGGGAGAGGCAGGTGAGAGCTTGCCCTTACTCTGAGGGACCACAGAGGTAAAATATAGACCCCAATACTGGAACAGTCTCCTGAGGTAAGTATTTTGCTCAGTGACCCTCCATCTACATATGGGTGTCATCGTCACCACAGCCCCTTGTTGGCCCCCTCAGTCCCAGTGCCCGGTTCCCAGCCCCTCCATTTCCCACCTCCATCTGCTTGCTTTTTCCAGAGTTTGACCTTTTGTATAAACCTCACATAAAGGGACTCATGCGACACGTAGCCTTTTGTGTCTGCATCTTTCGGCCACTTGGTTTTGAGGTTCCTCTGCTTGTTCTGTGGCTCAGTAGTGTTCTGGTAGGAGTCCTGGTGTGGCGCTGTGGGTTAACATGCTGGACTGCAAAGTTGCTTTGACCCAACTTTTCCAAGGAGCGGCTGGTTCAAGCTCACTAGCTGCTCCTTGGAAACCCTATACAGGGTCGCTATGGGTCAGAGGTGACTCGAGGGCACTCAACAACAACAGCATTCTGGTAAGGAGCCCTGGTGGCATCCTGAGTTAGACATTGGACTGCTAACCACAGGGTCAGCAGGTCAAAGCCACCAACCTCTCAGACAGAGAAAGGTAAGATCTTTCTTTCAGTTCCTGGAAAGATTTACAATCTGGGAAACCCTACACAGGGTCACTAGGAGTTGAAATCAACTCGATGGCAGTGGGTGGTAGTGCAGTGATTAAAACGCCAACAGGTCGGTGGTTCAGATTCATCAGCTGCTTCTCCAGAAAGAGAATGAGTTTGTCGGCTCCCATGAAGATTTGGAACTCTATGGGGCTCTTCTCTGCCCTGTAGGGCCACTCCGAGGCCTCCCCGGGGGCTGGTGGTTTGCCTTCGCTCCCTCACTGAAGGACATTTGCGCGTGTTCTGCCTCCGGCTGTTGCTGTGAACATTCGTGGTCGCATGTCTGCATTTCTCTGTTGGGTGGATCCTGAGGAGTAGGGTTGCTTGTTGGGACGTGGGGAGCGAGATGCCTGTTTTGAGGCACTGCCACCTCTAACATTGCCATCAGTAGCCGATGAAGTTCAGTTCCTCTACATCCATCTTCACTAACACTCGTTACGATTGTCTGGCTTTTTGATTCTTGTTGTTAAAGGCCATTTGTCACTTCTGACTCACAGTGACCCTGCATGGGCTTTCTGAGGAGTGACTAGTGGATTTGAACCACTGACTTTGTGGTTAGCAGTCCAATACTTATCCTACAGCGCCATACCCTCTTAGTAGGTATGAAAGGAGCCCTGGTGGCGCAGTACGTAAGCAAAACCAGTAGTTTAAACCCACTAGCGATTCTGTGGGAGCAAGATTTGGCCGTCTGCTTCCTTAAAGAAGACAGCCTTGGAGACCCTCCAGGGCAGTTCTGTCGGCTTGCTGTAGGTGCTGAGAGTCAAAGGCAGTGATGCGACATCTCTTTATGGTTTTTATTGCCATATGGGTTGTTTCTCAGTCTGGCCTCTACTGTGGGGAAGAGAGCAGACCTGGTGTCAGCCAATCCTGGGTTCAAACCCTGGCCTGGCCACTAGCCTCTGTTTCCTGACTTCTGTGATGAATCATCTCAAGCCTGACTGTAGGTATGTGCCCCGGTCCCACCTCATCCCCCCTCCCTCTAACCCACAAGGCTCCCTTTGTCCCCAGTGAGGGACTCACCCAAACCTCAGAGAGTCCTCCCTGATTGCCCATCACAGAATGGGTCCCACCCTGGAAGCCATCACCCCACCCCACCCCCTTGCTGCCCTCAGAGCACCTTCTCTGTTTTCCATTTGTAATGATCCTCTTTACCCTTAACCATGGAATCCTGGTGGGATGCTGCCGAATAATGCACGGAGCCCCAAGGTCGGTTTAAATTGTAAGGTCGCCGTTCAAATCCACCAGCCACTCCCTGGAAACCCTATACAGGGTCACTATGAGTCTGAGTCAACTTGATGGCACTTCACAACAACACCCTTCTGTGTGACCTTCCTGCAATGCCTCTTTCACCAGGAGCTTTGGGAGGGCAGGGCCCAGGGCTGCAGGTCTTCTGAGGCCCCACATGTGGCACTCAGGAAAAGGCCAGCAGGGAAGTGACACACCCACAACAAGAGCCTTGGCCCAGACCCAATTTCTCCTCACTCCTATTGTGTTTGGGGCGAGGATGCACATGGCAGCTTCTTCACATGTTGTTTGGTGACTCTGATGGCACCTTTTTTTACAAGGGGACATCCTCCCTGTTTAGGTTCTGGGTGCCCTGGGTAAGACTGTATGTTTCCACCACTTTGTTACCCCATACTTTGGGGTTTGGAAGGGACACCAACACAGGAGACAACAGGGGCACATTTCACAAACACTGACCGTCAGCCCCAGGGCAGCCCTGTCTGTCACAGGGGCCAGTGTAGCCACTCCTAGGTATTCTAGGTCAGATGAGAGAGGCAGACACAAGACCTCTTGGTGGGTGGGACGGGCTAGCTGAGCCATCAGGAGGGAGTGGGTTCCGATGGCCTGGGGCAAATTGTTCAACCAGCCTTGAAGACTGAGGGCTGGGAGGTGGAGGCTGGAGGGGTTAGAACAAAATGGGCAGGGCCTGGAAAGGCCGCATCGGGTGAGGAACAGAGAACCGGAGGTGCTTCACCTCCCAGATTCTGCCCAGTGCGGCCTGGGAGAGACCCAGCCCTTTAGCCGGATTGTCCTGATCCTCTGTGTCCTCAGCTGCCCGGTGGCCGTATGTCGGATATGCGGGCCACTGCTGTTGACATAGGCACTGCTCGCGCTCTGCTGGGGTTCTCCGTGCCTGGCTCAGGTACTGGACCGGGAGTTCCCGGGCCTGGCCCAGAAGAGGGCCCAGACCCCTGCAGAATCATAACTGCACACGGCTCCTTCTGCCTTCTTCCTGCATCTTGGCCTCCAGCTCCAGGTCTCAGAACCCAGCTGTGTATTTGTGTATCACACTTTGTTTCTGTACCAGCTGTTTCCTCTGCTGGAGCACTCTGCCTCCCTCACTGCCTCCTCTCACAGGCCAGCCTCAATGTCCCCTCCTCCAGAAAGCCCTCCCGAACCCTGAGTTGGACCAGATGCACCCTGGCTCTCCCATCCCAGTCCTGCCTGCTCTGGGTTTTGCTGTTGGGAGGGCAGGGACTGTGAACCCCAAGATGGCAAGGCTGGGCAGCCTCAGTCTTCTGTGTCCCCATCACAGGGGGCACATGGGGACTGCTTACCCAGAAGGAAGAAGACCTGCCACTCATCCCAGGTTCTTGGAGCTCTTCATCTGCCAACTGTTGACCCCAGCACCTGGTCTGGGCTCAGCACTGTGCTGGGCCCTAGCCTTACCTGGCCTTTGTCCCCACAGGTGACCAGCAATGGCAGCATTGGGAGGGACCCGCCAGTGGAGACCCAGCCCCAGAACCCACCACCCCAGCCAGCACCCAATGCCTGGCAGGTCATCAAGGGCGTGCTTTTCAGGTAAGGAGATGGACTCTTGTTCTGGTCCAAAGAAAACTCAAGTAAGAGAAGCCAGAAGAAAACAGTCAGAGGCCCCTGAAGGTGACTGTCGTCACCCATAAGGTGGTACACCTTCTCATGGGAGTTCAGACAGCCACTCTGGGCCGTAACAGGTCAGCAAGATGCTCTGTTTGGTCTGCTTAGACCTCGTGTCACTTCCCGAGACCTCTGTGTGCCCATCTGCAAAGTGCGCCCTGCGTTAGTGTCCTCACGCTAGTGTCCTCACGCTGCCTTACAAGTACCCCACCCCCACCCCCCAAACAGGCGGCTCAGAAGAGCAGACCTGGATTGTGTGATGCTCTGGACTGGGAGCAGGGGGTTGGTTCTGGTGATTCCTCCCATGGCTGTGAGGGAGGGTCTGCTCTGGGCCTCTCTTCCAGCTCTTTTTAAATTTAAGCTTTTTAATTGTGAACTGAGTAAAGGTTTACAGAACAGATGATCAGTTTTAATTTCAGCAAATCCTACACTTCATTCCATCTCCATGATTGCGATCCCATCTCCATTGTTGCGATCCCATCTCCATGATTGCGATTCCATCTCCATGGTTGCGATTCCATCTCCAT